GCTCAAACACTAATATTCCATGGTTATAATTTATTACATTGGAATCATAATTATGATTGTAATTCCAATTCCAATGTAATAAATTATAACCATGGAATATTAGTGCTTGGGCCTTATATATATATATATATATATATATATATATATATATATATATATTCCTGTATACTTCTTATATTATACAAAATTGGACTGTTAAATACCTGCTGGATTCACCTTCACTCCAAGATCGCTTCTTCTTCTCTCTGGGGGTCCCATGTATATATATATATATATATATATATATATATATATATATATATATATGAGGCTAGCTCAATGATTGCCCAATAATTATCTTATAACTATTACCATGCAAATAAATGACATATATTCTTTATATATATTTTACATTTTTTATTTAGTTGACATATGAAAGCAAGATAAAATTTGGGGCGAAAATCCCAAAATGTTTTGTTGTTCCTGAAACTTTTGTTAGTGCTTGATACTGAACAGTGTTTTTTTTAAACATTATTACATTTTTATTATAAACAGTATCGAACACTAACAATTTTGTGATTTTCAAAACACTTTACTGTGCTCTCATATAAGTAAGCATTTGTTTATCTCACAAGATAAAGGTAGCATGAAGCTTGGTCAAAATTCAGTAATTGGTGGTGAGACTGGTATGACATTTCCAGTTTGCAAGCAGTGGTATATGGAGGTTGGATGCTATCCAGACCACATGAGCTTCCTCTCAGACATACCAGCAAGATCCAAAAGAATACATAGCATTATATTTGAAGTTGGTTGTAGGAGTTGCTGGAAGTTTGATATTGTTGACAGGCAACCGATTTCAGTGCCCCACACTGAATTTTATGTCTAGATTTACTTCTAAAGAGAAATATATATAAAATATTTTTTCATACACATTTTTTGTGTATATATATATATATATATATATATATTCCTGTATACTTCTTATATTATACAAAAATATTATTGTCTAAATTAGTACAGGTAATAGATCCATTGGTATATAATCCAAGTGGATCCTAGTAATATCAAATATTTAAACTGATCCAGAGAGAGAGCTCAATATATTTATTATAACAGAGCATATATATTATACACCAAAAGCATTCAAAATTACCTCATGTGGGTATAGCCTATTCCAGCAGGCACAACCTTGCACCAGTCTTTTTCAACCCTGGACTAGACTTGTCTCTAAATCGCGAGGTAATTTTGGATTTTTTGCTGTGTAATATACACACACACACACACACACACACACACACACACACACACATATATATATATATATATATATAATTATTTATTTAGAAAATTTATAACATAGACATGTTATAAAATCACTACAAAAATAGCCATTTTGTTTCAACACTCCCGGTGTCTTATCAAGTGATGATGTTGAATGCAAAACAAATGGTTTTAAAAGTTTCAAATTAGTTAACAATCTTTCACAAGGGGAAAACATTGTTCCAAAAGCTAGAATGACCAATCAAAATACAAGTATAGGAAAATTCAAAAAGCCTGATAATGAAGTCATGTTATAATAGCTATTCAGATCGTTAAAATACGGGTAAAATTAAAAAAGAATTTATTCTAACCAATAATTATTAAATTATATGATAGAATTTGATATTAAAATTAAAAACTGCCAATTTTAAAATCCAAATTTAATCACTATGAAGTTTAAAATTATAAAATTACCGAGGAATTATATATATACTTATGAAAATTAATGAATTATATATATATTTATGAAAATATTATGACAAATTGGAAAAATGTTTTTGCGATGCATTTCATCCATTAGAATTTAATCGGACTGGGCTTTGTTGACGTTGCTTCATCTCCACATGAAATCCTAATGGATGAAACATGTCGCAAAAGCTTTTTTCCAATTTGTCATACTGTTTTTCTAAATACTGTTTGTTGTTATATAAAATTATACAAAATTGTATACTGTTATATCATATATATATATATATATATATATATATATATATATATATCATTACACCCCAAGAAAGGCAATAAAGCCACTAAGACATGAGAGGTTAACGAGTGTTAGAGAATATGATAAAAAAAAACACTATTACAGAGAGCGCAATAAAAGAACAGTAATTAAGAAGACAGAAAATAACAGAAAAAATAAATTTTTGATGATCAAAGTTGACTGGAAATCAAGAAGCCAGAAGAGAGTTCCACAAGCAAGAAGTGTGATAGAAGAAACTACTAGCATAGAACTTACAGTTGCATCTATGCATTTCAACTGTAAAATGATGAGACCTTGGCACCAATCTAGTACTGCACTTAAATTCATAAAGTATAGGTACTATAGCGAAGAGTTCCACTGAACAATTACCATGAAAATATTTATTAAAATGGCACAAGGAAGCAACTTTAAGGTGATAGGAAAGTGAATGAAGGTGAGATGACAGGTCAGGACCAATAATATTGCTGATTCTTCTTTGAATCTTATCAAATATCTCTAAATATATAGCAAGCGCACCAGACCATATGTAGCAGCAATATTCAAAGCAAGGATGAATGGTAGACTTATAAATATGTAAAATAAATTCTGCCAAGAAAAATATAAATACTAAATATAAATATATATATACTGTGTATATATATTTAAATTTAGTATGACATATTTTTAATAATGTTTTCCATTTAAAATGTTTTCATGTTTAATTTATCTCTGGAGTTCATCTCTTTGCATTGTTTTAATCTTTCCTTCTATCTTGTTCATGTCTTAGTATATCATGGAAAAAGTAAGAATCTTTACATGTACCTGTCTATACATTCGTAATTAGAATTTTTTTTAAATAAATATATTTTAGATTTGGACCCCATTCCTAATATGGCTGAAATTCTGAGCAAATCTAACATCCATAATTCTTAATTACAGTAACTCCTAATTTTTTTTCATTTTCAATAACAACCAACTCATAGTATCAGCTCTGAAGTGCTAAGTCAGCTCTGAACTTGCTATATATACTGATGGCACAACCATTTACTCCTGTTTTGATACTAAGTTTATTTTAATAAAGTCAAATTGGCAGCTGATTTAAAAAACGACCTACAGTTGTTAACTGGGGCACAGAATATTTTGTTAATTTTAACACCTCTGAAACAAAACTGTTCTCCATTAATCATCTGAATGAATCCTTTCTGCTTTCCATGCTTGGGGGAAATTTAATTAAAAAAAACCTCATTAATAAAGCATTATCAGATATGGATTCCATCTATCTGATAGTCTGGGAGAGAGAATTCTTCCAAGAGAAAAAAAAAATTTATTTCAAACATCTGCTGCTCTGCATCTCTCTGCAGTCCTGAAAAGTCTTCAGTGGCAAACCCTGAGAATAAAATTTCAAGCCAAAGTTCCAAAGGCAGTCCAATGTTAGATCCAACCCTCCATACAGCTAAATCCAGAAATGCATAATTCAAGTAGCACTGTCTGTTCAGTGAATGAATGTCAAATATAAATTAACATTAGTGAAAAATGAACATGACAAACTCAGTCAGATTTTTTAACTTGGCTCACCGATTCCACACCAATTATGCTAAATGTTATGGGACCTTACCCATAATAACATAATGGACTATTCCATATGTAATAAATACTGTGCCTCAAGAGGAAGCAGGGAGTTGAGTCTGAAGTCTGGAGTGAAGTCCGTCAGGAATCAGTCAGTCGAGTCAGAGGCAGTCCGAAACAGAGTCGCATTCAGACAATTAGTACAAGACATTGGAATAGTGATACTGGTCGAGACTACATTGTTCTCCCTACTAAACCTGATTGTTCGTACTAACCCTTTCTACTTCTCTGTATAAATTCCTGTTTGTAATATATCTGTGTTATTCCATATACGTTTTCGAGTTCTTTATTGGTTCTACCTTGGACTATCACCGTGGTACAAGGAACTGGACCATAACACTAGACATCATAAATTTATTTATTATATTTGGCTAAGGTTTTTTCTTTACCCTATCCCTCCTTTACACAAGCTCATCAGGTAAGTGCCCTGTTACCTACTCCAGTCTCTTTTGACTACATGGTATTCTCAGCATCCTTCTGTATAATCACATTTCTGTTGCCTACAGTTTTCTCTTCATCTGTGAAGAGATTGTCCATCATTCACAGCCATATTGGAGGCTTGGTATTGTATAACAGTTCAATACTCTTTTCTTTGTTTCTAATGAAAGTTTTCTGTTTCTTAACACTTTGCCTAGCTTTCAATGGATGAAATTCTGCTACAGAGATATCATAGAAGTTTTCTTGTATCACAAGGATGAATTATAGGCCTATATATATATATATATATATATATATATATATAATAAAAAGGCTTAAACACTAATATTCCATGGTCATAATTTATTCCATTGGAATCGTAAATACAATCCAATTCATCAGACCTACAAATTCAAAAAGAAAACAGAAAAAAACAACTCCGGAAATAAAAACAGAATTTAGAGAGAGTTTAAGTATGAGGAGGAGGGAGATTAAACCTTAACAGAGATAATTTTAGGAGAGATGGGTGGAAGGGGTTTTTATATATATATATATATATATATATATATATATATATATAAGGTGTAACAGCAAAATTGTCCAAGTAGTAGGTACATCAATGAAGATGTTCCTGCTATTTTTGTCTGAAGAATGCCTTGCATGAAACTCAGAGATACTATTTAGGTCAGTGTCCCTGAGCACTTTTTTGGTATTTGCTATTGCTCTGTTTTAGACTGATTTCTAAAGCTACGAAGCACTTTAGGTTTTAGTATAGGTAGATTACCATCTTATCTTTTTTCTAACTTTTTTTCTATGTTTTATCTTTTGGTAAACTTGGTATTGGTCAAGACATTCTCTGATACTTTGCTAATTACTTGGTTCTTTAATTATTTATTTATTTAATAATTAATTGGTTTATTCTTGTATTAAATACGTTTTTTTTAATTTTTTTTTTTTTCATCTTTTTTTTTTACAGACATATCAAGAATACAAAACTCGTTTGGACAATGCCCTGAACGTTTCAGATACAAGCCAAGTCCCTGGCTATCCAGAGACTCCCCTTGCCTATGATGCCCTCTGGGCTGTGGCACTGGCACTCAACAAGACTGCTACCAGGTACTTCTTGCATTCTTTTCAGTTAATATTTTTTATTGTAAATCTTCTCTCTATTTCTATTTTACTAAAATACTATCAATGAATGATTGATAATGACACCATTTTTTTGTTTATAAAAAAAGAATTAGTTCTTTGAGTTGAGTTATTTTTTACACTAATCAAACACTTTCTGGCAAAAACCTATATATATTTGTGCATCTATATATATAATCATAGATGTGTGTGTATGTGTGCGCGTGCATGTGTGTACATGTGTATATATATATATATATATATATATGTGTGTGTGTGTGTGTTTGCATGTGTGTACATGTATATATATATGTGTGTGTGTGTTTGCATGTGTGTACATGTATATATATATATATATGTGTGTGTTTGCATGTGTGTACATGTATATATATATATGTGTGTGTTTGCATGTGTGTACATGTATATATATATGTGTGTGTGTTTGCATGTGTGTACATGTATATATATATGTGTGTGTGTTTGCATGTGTGTACATGTATATATATATGTGTGTGTGTGTATGTGTTTGCATGTGTGTACATGTATGTGTGTGTGTGTGTGTGTGATAAAATATAGTATTAAAGAATGTTATATTTATAGGTTTCAGAGGAGGCATGGTGGAGTAATGGATAGCAGCTTGGATTGAAGAATCGGAGATTCGAGTTCAAATTCCAGTCAAATCCATTACATTAATTTACATGCTAATACCCTTGGGAAAGGTATGAATCCTCTTCTTCTCCCCCCCAGCTATGGATAAATAGTAGCAGAGACTGAGTTCTGTAGCCTTGGATGGCAACTGGTCTACTGCAGAAAGAAATGGCAACCTACTGTGGGAAAAAATCTGCCTCATCAGTCATGTATCGAAAGATACATGATCACCTAAGCGTGTATCACGCATGGCATATAACTGACTGATATTTATAGTTTAAAGTGGTCAGTATGAGGGATAGAGTATATGTAAATATAAAAGTGGACACTGAATTTTTTGCAAACTAATATGATAACTTTTTTAACCGAGAAATCAGCTCTGAAAAGACTAAAAGTTAGATTTTATTAAACTCAAGTTTATTGGTTAATAAATATTTTTCCCAATTCTTAAATATCCATTTTAAGAAGAAAATATACTGCTGATCATTTTCTGGAGTGAGCCTTCAAAATTTCATAGCAGACAACAAACATTGTTGTCTGAAAAAATTCAAAGCTCCCTACACATTTACAATTAACATCTCTGATTGGTTAATATATGTGAATGTGGAAGTTCAAATTGGAGCTGAAAATTGCACAATAATGTTGTTAATATAACTTAAATCTATTGCATTTTTATACAATTCTGTAATGGGGTTCCATACACACACACACACACACACACACACACATATATATATATATATATATATATATATCATGAGCACATGGCTGAGTGGTTAGAACATTTGCATTTTGACCATGACTTGGGTTTGAATCTCACCATGGTCGATTCCTTAGGAAGGAGACTTCCTGATGTTATCAGACTGGTGGGGTCAATCCCAGTGAGTGGTACTTTTGGAAAGTTCCTGAAAACCATGCCACAGGCTGACCCAAGCCATGTGAGGGAAATTGGGTAGATGGAATCCTTGTCATTGTCACCAAGGGCTTGAGTGTGCTGGCTTTGTTCAAATTGTTCATCATGCTAGATAATGCACTCTTTCCCAGAAATTGTAACTAAGGTCTGCTCAGCATAGTTGCAGGTGGGCTCTGTGGGTGTTGAATAAACACAAATCTGCCTGAGCAAGCGTCTGCAACAGGGATTGGCTAGCTGCCCTAGTAGACGAGTATCCTTGAATATGAGTGATCAGCTATATATATATATATATATATATATAGTAACAAGCAAAGGTTTTGGATACATATAAATAAACTTCTATGTACCATGTACCTTAAGGATATGAGTGATCATGGCTATCTCGTTTCTTACAGGTTCCATCCATGGTATTCTCACCATCCTTCTGTAGAACCACATTTCTGTTGCCTACAGTTTTCTCTTCATCCATGAGGAAAATATCCAATGAATAAACATTGTTCAATATTTGATGGTGTCTACATTTGATGGCTATCAGATATTTGTAATAATATGAGGTAAACTTCTTTGAGAAATTAACATCAATTTTTTACCCTATTCCCATAGACAAATCATCTTAAGTTATTCAAGTTTTATGGATTTCTTTGATGATTTCAAAATTTAAGCTCTAAATCAGCTGACAGAATGCCACTCTAAAACCTTTATTTTCTTTGACTGGAAATTTCCCTTTGCCATCACTGCTGTATTTTAAGGATCATTGTCTTTTTCTTTTACTTTTTTTTAAACATTTCACCCAAAGCAAGGTGATAATGAAGCTAAGACAGAAGGGGTTGCTAAGAGTGAAAGAGAATGAGTAGACTTTACTGAGGAGAAAGGACAATAAAAGAACAGGTTTCAGGAAGACAGAAGATTGCAATTGATGTTGCATTTAAATTTTTGAAGATTCTCAGTGGCAGGAAAGCAAAAAACTGGAATAGATTTCCATGAAAAAAATCCAACCACTTAATATTCTATGAAAATGTCACAGACGAAAGAAGCCTTCATAATATATAACACTATTTTAGATGATCCTTAATTAGATCTTATAGACTGGCACAAAAAAAATCACAAAGATATTTGCCAAATAACAAAAACCACATCACTTGAACACTTCTAAAAGCAGCAGCAACAGCAAAAAGAAAAAATTATGATATAATAAAGATGTTAACTTTCCACATGACCATAAACAAAATATTTGGAAAGAAACTCCCATCAATACTAGAAAAAGTTATAACAACTAGCAATCTTAAGAAGTCTAATTTCCTGAAAATCTCGTTTAAGAGAAAGATTTTATAAATTTCAGCTAACAGTAACACTGTTTGGTCAATGAATGGTAGATGTTTCATGTATGGAAACGGCTAATTTCACTATTATTATTACCAATACTTTGTCGATGATATATAGTATGCCTGTATCACCCCAAATCCTTATATTTCCATCAGTGCTTAACTGTTGAGATGTTATTTATTCTGGGAGTCATATATTTGTTAAAATGTCTCTGTTTCCACCAAAGAATTTGATTTTAGTCTTATTGGGTCATAATATTTCATCCCAGAATGAAGCAAACTGCTCAAGGTGATGATAGACAAGCTGTAAATGAATGTTCATTATCATGATTCTTTTTACAGTGTCTAAAAATGCAGTCCTACTTACTGAAGCATCTGACATCTTTGCTCAACCGTGTGCCAGGTGCGCTTTCAAATCATTCTGAAGTTCTTTTTTTTGCTGTTTGTGAGCAATTTATGCATTATTTTCCAATGAATAGAACAAGCTGCTCATTCACTTACTTTACAAAGACAACCTTTTTGAGGGAGATTGGCGGTAAGGCCATGTTCCTTCCATTTTGAATGATGGCTCTAATTATACCGATGGGAATTATTCCATGATTATGATGGCCAATTAACACCCCACAAAATTCTTAAGCGAGTTCCATTGTGTACACCTTAACATATGCCAGCCAGATATTCAATGACCATTCAAAGTATGTGGAGATTATGTAAGTTGTTAGATATTGCTCTGATTGATCAGCAGATATTTGCAAATTAATCCATTGCTAAAGATACTAGGTGAATGGTCGGCAAATTATACTGCTCCAGTAAGTAACTGACTCCACACAGCATGCTCTATCTTTACAAGAAACAGATCAGATCAAAAATGGAGTATTGCTGCCACATCTGGATTAGAGCAACACAATCTTCTCTTTTTCTACAGGAGGATGTTAAGGATACCATAGACCGAGCATGTGAACAACAATGAGATCTTAAAGAGGTTGCAAACAAGGAGGCTTATACTTAATATCAGGAAGGGGCAGCTGAAGTTTCTGGGACATATAATGAGGAAAGAGGGCCTGGAGAATCTGATATACATGGGTCGAATAGAGGGAAAGAGAGACAAGGGAAAATAATATGTGTGTAGAAGTCAAGTGATATACCTAGCAGACTTAAGCAAGTGGATGACAGAACATAATCTGGGGGAGGAAGCAGAGGGATGGAACTTGTTGAGAGCTGCAAGGGATAGAGGGACGTGGAGAGCCATGATTGCCTACGTCCTGAAAGGACATGGCACATAAAAAAAGAAAGAAATGATTAATTATTTCTCAAGGTAGAAGGTTACTGAATGAGTTTATTGTAAAGGTAAATTATGAAGATATGTAGGATAGATAAGAGACAACCCGAGACATTAAGATTGCAATGATCAGGTAAGCATCCTTTTGTGAGTCTGTTTTCCAAAATAAAAATTCTCGGGAAGAAGCTGCTTCAGTAAAACTTTCTTCTTACCAATGGAATATAAAGGAAATGAAGATGAATCGACTCATGAGTCGATTATAGTGGTGAAGGTTTGTGCAGAACCACCCACAGAAGAACCAAATAAGGAGAACTGGTCTACATAGTGTACCACAAGGTCTCCATTCTCCTCTGCTTTTGAATTCAGAATTGTCCTTCTTCTAGACTGGTTGCTAACCAAGGCTAAAGAGCCCAGTCTGTCCTACTATTTAACACATAGCTAGGGGAGACTAAGAGATGAATTTATGCCTTTCCCAAGTGTATTTACCCTAAGTGAAACATAACAATCTCCTTAGTTCTGATTCCAAGCCACTACCCATTACACCATCTTTACATATATATATATATATATATACCCATCTCTTCACATCTCTGATCTTCATATATATATATATATATATATATATATATATAAAAATACACATATACCTACGTTTGGTGTGCAACTTAAGTTTCGTTGGTTACCCAACTTGTCAGACACAATATATAGCTTGAGCACTATTGTATCTACACCTCTTGGCTAAATTTGGTAATCATTTATTTGCTTACCAATGTATGCATGCCCGCACACATGTATATGGTCACTAATATAGTTATTTCATTTACCC